AATAAGTTGTTGATCGAGATCATTAATCGATTGATGTTAGACCACTATTGAAAACCTGGAAGCACTAGACGGCCGTTTCATCCTATTGTGGAACTGCTCAGCAGTGAGCATCCACGATTTTGTATGAATTTCCTAAACATACAATCCAATTTAGTAGTAATTAAAATGTTTTTTAAAGACAAATTGATATGGAAGTTCATTCAAACTATTAAAATGATAAAATAATAAAGTGTAGTTATGCTACAAAAGAGGAAACACTTTAATTTTATTCGTAACAATAAATTGTCTATATTTAATTGTCATTATATTGACATAACAAGATAATGGATATTGGAAACTATCAATCAATTAATCTAACATTATATACATTAATTAATATAGATGATAATGAAACTTTTAAACGATCTAAATGGACAAATTAAAGACGATGAATATTGAATTAAAAACTGCTTTGATCAATAATAAAATTCTATACCGAATAATTCTCAACTCAAATCATAAGAAACTTATATCATACAACAAATTTATCAAAGATAGACAGATGAGAATATCATTGATAACATAACATATAGTTTACATTAAAAAGTAAATCATTTTTGTTTGAATTTAGTCTGTATTTTGAAAAATTCATCATAGTAAAGACAAGAAACATGATATTTTTACGTTTATCTTCTTATAGACGCATTTATTTAACTTAGTAATCCTCATAGTGTACATCGTATAACTGACTTTAGTTGAACAACCATTAAAAAACTAGGAAGTACCGAATGATTCTTTCAAAATCGAACATTCCGATCGTTAAACATAAGTCATATTCTCTAACATAATCTATTTGAGCATATAAGCAAATACATGAGTAATATGCTTCCAAATCAATGAAAAGAGTAGATTTTACAAATTATATATATATATATATATATATATATATATATATATATATATATCATCTCCTATGAAATGAGCATTTAAAAAAGTAATAATGTTTTATATAAGAAACAAAACACAACTAAGTTTTATATCATCAAGATATGAACAATATGATCTTTCCCTGTTTAATATGATGTATAAATCATCTGTGAATCAAAGAATCAGTGTCAATTATTGATATTTAACTTTCCTTATACTGTACTGTATTTGCTTGATAAAGAATAATTATCATAAGAAAAAAGAGAACAGATGTTGTAAAATTATCCATTCTTATCAATATATTTATATACGTATGCACTCGACAAATTTTCATTCATAGTTAATTAACTCAACTGACTTTTATTTTTATAAGAATATTTCATCAAGAAACTTATAAAATACTTTAATAATACTGTTACTTTTTTAAAATATTATCCCTAATTATTATTTATCAGTTTTTGAGGGATGTAAATTGTTTAATAAGAAATAAAGATTGTGAATTAGAGAAAAGAAAATCACCTTGGAAATTAATTCTAATCATCACTAATAAACATTTGAATTATTCCATAGTTGATATTCAGTAATGAATTCTAATCAGTTTTTGTTGAGGTTTATACATCTTATGTAAATGGCATCACGACAACCAAATGATGATTATTAATCAAATTTAAATACCAACAACGAAACAATTTAATTGTTTATTAATGATAATGTAGACATCATACCAAGTGAATACTATTGTACCTATTCAAACTCATTAGCTTGGTGGACAACGTGATGGTATCTGAAGTAAAAAGTACTTGATATGTGGTGAAAGATAACTTGATACTGATAAATAATTTATTGTTTGTTGCAAAATTACAGAGTATCTTCTTAAAATATGAAAACTGTCCATTAAAAACCTTATTTGCATACCTTTAATCACTTGTCTGTTTTTACATTTCATCACTCTTTGATTCCTGTTATCACTTCAGATGCTTTTAGTTTTCTTTTCTCTTCATTTTAATCTTCTCAACTTTCTGTTGGTATGCACTTCATTTCCGATTGACGCTATATACTACTTATATATGTCAAAATAAGTAGTATATACCACAGATATAATCTTGATGTAAACATCAACAAAATTGGGGTTCTTCTCTATCTATCTGATGAGTTCTAAATAGAGTGGAATGTGCACTTTGATAACACTATCAGTCACAAAATATCTAAAGCAATACAGTATCTAAAGTTAATGTGTAGATCGTAATAAAAAAGATTAGTAATGTGTACTAGATTATTTGCAGTCGAATTATGATAATAAAGTCATAATTAAAATGACGAGACGTTTTTGTGGTTGTAGTAATCAGCTTTGTATATCTTACTGCTGTTAAATGAATACTACAAAGTAAATTTACACTCATGTTCTGCAGACGATCCATTTTCCTCTGGCAATTTTTACGCATTTAAATTTAAATCTGTGAGTCAGTTTTCGAATGTTAATGAAATCAAACATCTCATCAGGTTAATTTTTTGAATTCATAAAGATATTATCTACTTAGATTATGTAATATGTATGAAACAGGTTGGAGGTTATTAATTTAATTTGCTTCCCTTAAAAATCATTGTTTATCAGCTTACTTTTTGAGCTTCTCGTTTATCAGTTCGTTGATTCTGTTGATATATCCTGGCAAAATGTGAAACAATCACAGGGACTGGTAAGGCGATAACAAGTACACCAGAAAGTGAACAAATACCGCCAACTATTTTTCCAATAATTGTAGTTGGTACAATATCTCCATATCTGTAAGAATGAAAATAATATCACTAAGCTTAAATAAGTTCCAATTTCATTTTTACATTAGATAATTATTTTATTTATTTAAAAGAGTTTTATTTCGAATTTCAGTAAGGTTTGTGAATCTGTAATTTCTTAATATGAAAATCTGTCGTAAAATAACTTTCTAGATAAATATGTATACAACACGATAAGAAATAAATCATCATTATTCAAATAGGAATAAAATTAAGCTGATCCTATCATTCTTACTGATTACGGAAAAAGAGTTAATCAGTAAACAGACATATAGCCAAGCAACAGATTTAATACTGTACTTTATGCATTGTAGATCAATGTCAAACATTATTGATAAGCTAGTTGAAGCATATTATTCCAATATATATATATATCAACATATTTAATTTAAAGAGACTTGTTTAAATAAGTAAACATATCATCTAATTCGTTGGTATCACCAACGATGACGAGATTTTATTATGCCCCATATACACAAGGAGTTGCATTGATGCTGTCCAAACAAGCACAAAATGCACATATAGGATGGTTATCTCATGGACCAAGGATCATCAAAGCCTCCTTCAAAACAAAGAAAGAGGGCATTTCAATGAACATCATCCAATGCTATGCGCCTACCAACGATTACAATGAAGACGCTAAAGATCAATTCTACAATAAGCTGCAGTCAATCATCGAGAAGTGCCCAACAAAGGACCTGACCATTCTGATGGGAGATTTAAATGCCAAGGTTGGGACGGACAACACTAGATAGGAAGACAGCATGGGACTACACGGGCTGGGAGAAAGGAGCGAAAATGGTGAGAGATTTGCGAACCTACGTGGCTTCAATAAACTGGTCATAGGCGGCACCATATTCCCACATAAACGCATACACAAAATCACATGGACTTCACCGGATCACACAATACAAAACCAAATCGACCATATCTGCATCAACAAAACGTTCAGGAGGACGATGGAAGACGTGAGAACCAAGAGAGGAGCTGATATAGCATCAGACCATCCCTTGCTGGTCGCCAAGATGAATTTGAAACTCAAGAAGCACTGGACAATGGGGCGGACGATACCATAAAAGTTAAATACGGCCTTTCTTCAGGATACTGACAAACTGAAAAAATTCAAGAAGGCTCTCAGCAATAAGTTCCAGGCCTTTCATGACCTACACAATGGAGAAGGAACTACTGTGGAGAGCAACTGGGAGGGGATAAGAGAGGCAATTACTTCAACATGTCATGAGATCCTGGGCCACAAGAAGCACCATAACAAGGAATGGATCACTGTTGATACACTGGATAAGATTCAAGAAAGGAGGAACAAGAAGGCAGCAATCAATACCAGTCGAACAAGAGCAGAAAAAGCCAAGGCACAAGCTGAATACACAGAAGTAAACAAACAAGTGAAGAGGAGCATCAGAACCGACAAACGTAAATATGTGGAAGATTTAGCAACGACGGCGGAAAAGGCTGCAAGAGAAGGAAACATGAGACAACTGTATGACATAACAAAGAAACTCTCTGGAAATCGCCGCAAACCAGAACGACCAGTGAAAAGCAAGGAAGGCAACGTAATCACCAACATTGAAGAGCAACGAAACAGGTGGGTAGAACACTTCAAAGAACTGTTGAATCGACCAGCCCCACTGAACCCACCCAACATCGAAGCAGCACACACGGAGCTCCCAATCAATGTTGGCCCACCAACAATTGAAGAAATCAGCATGGCCATCAGACAAATCAAGAGTGGCAAAGCAGCAGGACCGGACAACATCCCAGCAGAGGCACTAAAAGCAGACGTAGCGGCAACTGCAAGGATACGCCACATTCTCTTCAATAAGATTTGGGATGAGGAACAAGTACCAAAAGACTGGAAAGAAGGACTTCTGATCAAAATACCGAAGAAAGGCGATCTCAGCAAGTGTGATAACTACGGGGGCATCACTCTTCTCTCAATACCGGGAAAAGTCTTCAACAGGGTATTGTTAAACAGGATGAAGGACTGCATAGACGCCCAACTTCGTGACCAACAGGCAGGATTCCGTAAGGATAGACCGTGTACAGACCAAATCGCAACTCTATGGATCATTATGGAACAATCAATTGAATGGAATTCATCACTCTACATCAACTTCATTGACTACGAAAAGGCATTTGATAGCGTGGACAGAACAACACTATGGAAACTTCTTCGACACTACGGCGTGCCTCAGAAGATAGTCAATATCATACAGAACTCATATGATGGATTACACTGCAAAATTGTGCATGGAGGACAGTTGACAAAGTCGCTCGGACCAAAGACCGGTGTCAGGCAAGGTTGCTTACTGTCACACTTTCTCTTTCTCCTGATGATCGACTGGATCATGAAGACGTCAACGTCTGAAGGGTAGCACAGGATACAGTGGACATTTAGGATGCATCTGGACGATCTAGACTTCGTAGATGATCTGGCCCCTCGCAACAACAAATGCAGAAGATGACCAGTGTAGTAACAGCCTCAGTAGCAGTAGGTCTCAATGTACACAAAGGGAAAAGCAAGATTGTCCGATACAATACAGCATGCACCAATCCAATCACAATTGACGGAGAAGATTCGGAAGATGTAAAATCCTTCACATATCTGGGGAGCATCATTGATGAAAATGGTGGATCTGGTGCAGATATGAAAGCGCGGATCGGCAAAGCAAGAGCAGCATATTCACAATTGAGGAACATCGGGAACTCAAAACAACTGTCAACCAACACCAAGGTCAGCATTTCCCATACAAATGTCAAGACAGTTCTACTGTATGGGGCAGAAATCCTGGAGAACTACGAAAGCCATCATCCAGAAAATACAGGTGTTTATTAACAATTGTCTACGCAAAATACTTCAGATCCATTGGCCGGACACTATTAGCAACAACGTACTGTGGGAGAGAACAAACCAGATCCCAGTGGAGGAAGAAATCAGTAAGAAGCGCTGGAAGTGGATAGGACACACATTGAGGAAAGCACTCAACTGCGTCACAAGACAAGCCCTCACATGGAATCCTCAAGGCTAAAGGAAAAGAGGAAGACCAAAGAACACATTACGCCGGGAAATGGAAATAGACATGAGAAAAGTGAACAAGAATTGGATGGAACTAGAAAAGAAGACCCAGGACAAAGTGGGTTGGAGAATGCTGGTCGGCGGCCTATGCTCCATTAGGAGTAACAGGCGTAAGTAAGTAAGTAAGTAAGTATTATTACTATTATAATCAACTTTAATTACAATTTCCAACTTTGTTTTAGCAAATAAATCAGTATTCATACTAAAACATATTATTTTTATTAATAATATGATTTGATTTATTATACTATAATATCGACTACGATTTATATGACGTTTTATTGGAAAAAATTAATTAATAAACTTGTCATTTCTTTGTTTTAATATATTTTATTTTTGCTTTCAGAATATAAATACAGATAGCGGTATAATAATTCATATTTTTCTTAAAGTTGGAAAGTAAAACAACCAATCTGTTCAAATATTATTAATTTGTAATTAGGATTATTGTTTATGTGAGATATGTTGAGTGGATGAAATCCAGGGAAACATTTTGTTACGTTTATCTACAGATAACTAAATAAGTTCAAACAACTTGAAAGTGTTTACAAAATCTATTAAAAATAATCTAAGAGCGATCTGATGATGCTTTCTTCTTCTCCTTTTTCTTCTTCTTCAAAAACATTACTTCATTGCTTTTTTCGTCTTAGAAAATTCACACATCAAACATAGAATAAGAAAAATTATTAAAAGATTATTCATTCTATATTAGTTAAAAATTATGGATTTTAACCTTGATGAATATTTTGTCTTGTGAGTTGAACAATTTGATCATGCAGGAATGTTTAGACAGAAGTGAATTATTCAAAGTTTGCTCTGATTATATTGTTCAGGAAAACAATGAGAGCTTCATACTCGATTTATTTATTTTACAAAATAAAACTTCACTATAACCATTCACTTACATATCTTTACCATTTTAATATGTAAATGATTACGTTCGACATTTACTCAGAATAATATAAATATTTCAAATAAAATGACAAATTATAAATTTTACAGTAACAATCATCATTCTTATTTATTTCAGATTTAAAGAATGACATAATTATACAAGTATCTTACTTTCAGGAAATGAATTATTTTGATGAGATTACAAATAATGGAAAACCTTTGAGCAAATCTAATATGACTTTGGAAATGTCCACCTACATACTAAGGTAAAATGAGAGTAATAAAATAGTATGAGAAATTAAGATCAAGATTTCAAATGGAACGTTAGGATTAGGAATGAAGTTTAATGTTTTCATCAAAAATTGACATCAGTTATAATGCAAAAAGTGTATTTAGCCAAAGGAGTGAACCAATTTTTTCTCTAAAATCCAAGATCTTTTATCTTAAATGTGATTGGTTTCACTGTTAATCATAGTCTTGCCCTCAGAATATTCAACTGTATACATACTTTCTCAATGACTAAATTGCTAACGTTCATAGAAAGTTCATCGGTGCTAAAATCAACATATATATGACATTAAATCTTTTCCAAATAACTTTAGTTCATTTCATTTTACAAGTTTTTGTAAGACCAGAGATAATTTGTTAATCGGGATAACACTATCTAAACATCATTAGTAATGATACCAATTATACAGTCTAAATAAGGCTGGCGAACGATGACCCAGTGATCATTGTCCTTATGCTATCCAGTTATCTGTACAAATGTTATTTTCTAAATACATTTTTATATCAGTTGAATCATAATTAATGCAGAATCTTGAAAGACCTTTAAAACATACTTGATAATGCTTTAAATTTTATTAATTACTTCTAACGTGTATCTAGCGTTTTAAATGCAATTTCCATCTGTAGTATGCGTTTCCTATTATTTAGCGTCCCCATCATTTTATAGAAATCGTTTAATTGCACAACAGATGTGTTTAGAAATTTAAGGCATCAAGGAAACTAAATAAAGGCGACTTTTACCTCAGCTTCTAACAAGATACAAGCCATCCGTCATAAAGTTTGAATTTTGCGTAAAAATTCTAAAGATATTGCCTTGAAGATTGTTGGTTTGTTTACAAAGAATAATTTTAAAATATGTAGTATTAAAAACTAACTAAATAACATTTTTAAAAAGAAATAAAGGTGAATGAATCTTCAGTTTATGTTAAAATGTTTGAACTATCCACTGATGAGCTTTACTTAATTAAACCACTCATTGGATTTGCAATAAATCATCAATTTAGATATAAAAAGTGTTATTTTATTGATGCATTTGCAAATTGAGAAACTAATCTTCAACACAAACAGAACTAAACTATCCAATTTAGAACTACATTTACCGTCCGATCTAATATAGAAAGTAGAATGTTTTAAGACTAGTCACTGAGAGCTAATCAATCGGAAAACTGAAATTCCTTCAATAGCATTATAAATTAGTACTATTTTAATGTGTTTATTTAGAAAAAATTGCCATCATTATTGCTTATCTTAATGTGGAAATACAATAAGATAAATAGATAAATACCATGGTCACTATAAAAAATGATTACTAGGCATACAATATTAGATAGAGTGACCAACTTAAATGTCATTATTATAAGTAATATTGATAATGATTACTTGACTGTAGACACAATAATAAATGCATTTCATAAACATTGATAAATATTTCAGTTTATTCAAATGGTATATTCTTTTGATTAAAAATTAGAATAGACAACCGCCGAAAGTTTTATTTAAATCAAAATAATCTACAATCGATTTCATTCGACTAAATACTGTTTGAAACTATAAATGAATATGATTTTGTGATATTTAAACACTAGTACACTTGGAAATTATTTTGAAGTTAACACAATCCAATAAGGATCATTGGATAATTGTACTGTTACAACAAAATAAAGATAGTGTTGTAATTAAACACTGATGAATTTACTTATGAAAATTTATTGACACTAATGAGAAACGTTGCTCAAACTAACATTTCAAAATTGAACGTATATTAAAGAAATCACAAATCTTCTACAAATCCATGTTAACATCGTTTTGTGAAGAAACAAAACCCTGTTTTCTATGAATCAGTAAATGATAGATTTTTTTCTTACAGTAAATTGTGGTTTCATCTTGTGGATAGCAAGAGTTTCTATTACTGTATGCGGCTGAATATGAAGAAATCTGCAAAGATTCGAATAGGTTCTATAAACACTTTTAAAATTGACACGTTAATCGGTAAAATGGTCAGAGCCTACTGAATGTTTAAGGATCGAACCTCTGATCACATTTCTATCACTCTTGTAAGACCAAATGTAAACAGTCTCTAATATCTGTCCTGATACTAAGAACTGGCTACGGCGTAGATACCTTTCTCTACAATGACATAATATTATCTACAAATCATATCATTTATTCCAAAGATAAATACATTGATTATTGTTCGTAATAGTTTATTTTCTGACATTATTGCAACTAAACGAAATGCGTATGCTAAACTTTATTGTCTAACTCCATTTAAAATCCAGTCAAAAACTTTGTTCATAAATAAACGTCTTAACTTGTTTTAATAAATAAAATATCGAACTCTATCAGTCTATCTGAAAAAGTAACATTCATTTGACTAGTCTTTAAAAAATATTGACGTAAGAGAATTCAACTTGATTAACAGTAGAATTTAAGTATGTTTGCTCCTAATTAGTACTCACCAACTAGATGTTTTTGCATCCCAGTGTTGATGTTCACATGAAGACGCTAGCGCATTATCTACTATGCTACTAAGTCCGGCTAATCACAAAATCTTCAATTCTAACTGTTTCATACATATAAAATATGTATTAGTTACAGTAAAATAAAGTAGATGAGTCGAAAATCTTATGCAATGTACATATATTGAGTTTATATATTAAAAACAGAAAATATGATGACAATGGAAAACAAAAGGAGAATAACAAAACAAAAATTGTGACACAACTTTAGTTTTACCATATATTTAATTCTCGTTGTATACAACAAATATCACTAAGTACAAATATACGATAAAAGCAACTTAAGTGACTTCAATTCCGACTTTTATTGTAAACATTGTTATGATCAAATTATAATGCATATGTCACATACAATTCAGTAAGAGTTTAGCAATTTCTTAATTATCTTAATATCAATTTTAGATGGCGTTTATATCATACTAAATATAGAGAATAAAGCAAACATGACTTTATAGTGTTGAAATTTAAAAAAGAACTGAAAAAAAGGTAGACAAATTAAGGAGAGAAAAAAAGAGAAAAAACTATATTTTCGCTAAAGTGAACTAACTTATTGAATAAATGACAGTTAATATTAACTTTAAGGTAACAGAAAGAATAGACTTATACATAATGCTAACACTTACATAAATAAAAACTTAAGTGTTCATAAATTTGGTAAAATGTAAATGGAAGTAACTGTTTGTCATTTAATTAAAACGTATTTTAACACTTTTTGTGTGTGTGTGTGATGCTGCGTTTCAAATTAAAGACTTCATAGTATAGATAAGTATGTCATTCCTAATATTTTATAGCCGGGTGGATATTTATTTTTTTCTTCTACAATCTGAATTTTATTAGTCTTTCAGGTACTTCTTAGAAGTAAGTTAGGTGCTTTATTTATGATAATATATTTTTTAAAAATACAGAGGGGATACATATACAATAGCTGCATAAATTATGACATGAATACGTTTAGTTGAAAACCAGAACTAATGCTAAATTAGGACACATTAAAAAAAAGATCAAAGTTACTGAAAGAATTTTAGTAAAGAAAAATGAGGAAAAAAACTGCTTATAAACACAACTATTTACATTTATTACATTTTTTTCAAAACATCAACTAAAAATTCCAAAAAAAGAAGGAAAAGATAATAGCTATTTTCATTATTCTAAAATATTTTATTTTAAAGTATACAATCAAATCATATTGTTCATCCATAACAACTAATTCAGTTAATAATGACTAATGATAAACACATACAAAAAAAAGCATTACATTTAATTACTGGTTCATAATACGTTTATATAATTTTGATAGAGTTTCGTTGTTTCCAACTCAGAGAACAAAACTCTATGAAAATCATCCACCTGAGCTATAAATCTTCTCCACCGTTTATATAATTTATAATTTGATCATAAATTTACTATTCCAATCAATT